TGACAATGTCGTTGCCTTGCCAGCGCCCTTTCCACAGCTGCAGGGAGACAAGTGGAGACAGTCACTGTGAGAGGACACCCGGTCCCCTCCCCAGGCTGTGGGGCCCACGGGACCAACAAGTCCACAGCAACGTGGACTGACGATGACAAAGTCACTTTGTCATCGTCAGGTGCCCCACTCTGCGTGGGCTGGGCCCACGCCTGGCCTGGAAACCCACCGAGCAGTTGTGCCCCAGTTCTGCACACCGCAGCCAGCCAGGGGCTGGGGGAGAGCAGGGGTCTGCATGGGTGCAGCTACCCCGTCCCGGGGGGCAACAGGCTGACGTACCTCTCCTGACTGGTTCTCGTTGAGTTTTTGGCTCAAGCTCAGCTGTTTGAAGTCTATTCCAGCAAGTTCACGCCTGGCCTGGAAACCCACCGAGCAGTTGTGCCCCAGTTCTGCACACCGCAGCCAGCCAGGGGCTGGGGGAGAGCAGGGGTCTGCATGGGTGCAGCTACCCCGTCCCGGGGGGCAACAGGCTGACGTACCTCTCCTGACTGGTTCTCGTTGAGTTTTTGGCTCAAGCTCAGCTGTTTGAAGTCTATTCCAGCAAGTTTGTTGAGAGTCCCGTTTCCTGTAAGAAAAGGAGGAGAGGTGGTTGGTGGCTGCATGGTCCTTCACCTGGGACCACAGAGGCAGAGCCAGTGGGACCCCTCGCTCCCACCAGGAGCCACCTTCAGCCAGGGGATTTCCACCTCCACAAGGAGCCGGTGGCAGTGGGGACTGTCACCCCCTCCCCAGCCCAGAGCTGGGCTGTCCCTGCAGCAGCATCCCCCCTAGGGAAGGCTCTGTCCTTACGGGGACGCGTGCGGGTCGTGCCCTTCCAGAAGGTGTCCTTGTAGGGGATCTTGGTGAGGCTCTGGCCCAGCTTCTCCGCACGCTCTGGAAGGACAAGGAGTTGGGCAGCAGAAGCAGAGAGCTGGCTGGTGCTGAGCGCAGGGGCTGCAGCAGGAGCCAGAGGTGGGCTGTGGTGTCAGGATGAGACCCTCCTACCTTTCAGGACCTCTCGCAGGGGTGTCTTGGCTTTGTCAATGGGCGTCTCACCGTATTTGTTAGCAATGCTGACCAAGGCCCCGTTGCCCACCAGGTCCTGAGGGAGGAGAAAGCAACCACCTGCAGAGTTTGCTGTCCTCTTCTCAGCCTCTACATGCACTCCCAGCCCCGTCCCTCCTCAGCCACCTCCCTCGCCCCAGGCTCCTGCCCGTGTCCAAATGCTTCCCCTCACCTCGGCCACCTGGTCGTGTCCCCAGAAGCAGGCGTAGTGCAGCGGCGTGTTCCCGTGCTCGTTCACAGCATTGATGTCTGCTTTGAACTGGATCAGCTGGGGACAGGAGGACAATCCCTGTAAATCTAGAGCAGGAGCACCAACAGCAGCACATCTGCTGCCTCAGTGCTGGCCAGGTCTGCTGCTGGGAGGGGACTGAGGCTGGACGTGGGGCTTCCTCAGAATCACTAAATGACACAGGTGGGAAGGGACCTTAAAGCTCCTCCAGTCCCAACCCCCCTGCCAGCAGCAGGGACACCTTCCA